TCCGGCTCTGGCTCTGGCTCTGGTTCCGGCTCTGGCTCTGGTTCCGGCTCTGGCTCCTGGTCCGGTTCTGGCTCTGGTTCTGGCTCCGGCTCTGGAGGTGCTGCTCCCTCTGGTAGCGTTCCCTCCGTCCCCTCCGGCTCCGTCCCTGCTGTTCCTACCGCCAGCGTCCCCGAGGGCGCCAGCGCCGGTGCTTCCACCACTCCCTGCGACACTATCACCGGTCAGACTGTCGTTCCCGTTGCTACTATGACTGAGGGCGGCTCTGCCCCCAGTGCCCCTGCTCAGTCTGGCGGTGTTGTTCCCTCTGCTCCCGCTCAGTCCGGTGCTCCTGGTGCTCCCTCCGGTGCCCCTGCTCCTAGCGGTGGTGTTGTCCCCTCTGTTCCTGCTCAGTCTGGTGCCCCCGGTGCCCCCTCCGGTGGTGCTAGCGTCCCTGCCGTTCCCACTGCTAGCGTCCCTGAAGGTGCCAGCGCTGGTGCTTCCACCACCCCCTGCGACACTCTCACCGGTCAGACTGTTGTTCCCGTTGCTACCATGACCGAGGGTGGCTCTGCCCCCAGCGCCCCTGCTCAGTCCGGTGCCCCTGGTGCTCCCTCCGGTGGCGCCCCTGCTCCTAGCGGTGGTGTTGTTCCCTCTGCTCCCGCTCAGTCCGGTGGTGCCCCTGCCCCCAGCGGCGGTGTCGTCCCCTCCGGTGCTGCTAGCGTCCCTGCCGTTCCCACCGCCAGCGTCCCCGAGGGTGCCAGCGCTGGTGCCTCCACCACCCCCTGCGACACCCTCACCGGCCAGACTGTCGTTCCCGTTGCTACCATGACCGAGGGCGGTTCCGCTCCCAGTGCCCCTGCTGAGTCTGGTGCCCCTGGTGCCCCTAGCGGTGTCAGCCCCTCCGAGACCCCTGCCGCTCCTGCTCAGTCTGGCTCTGGCAACGCTCCCAGCGGTGGCTCCCCCGCCCCCAGCGGTGGTGTCGTCCCCTCCGGCGCTGCTAGCGTCCCTGCTGTTCCCACCGCTAGCGTCCCCGAAGGCGCCAGCGCTGGAGCCTCCACCACTCCCTGCGACACCATCACCGGCCAGACTGTCGTCCCTGTCGCTACCGAGACCGTGACTCCTGTCCCCGTTGCCACCTCGGCCACTGAGGGTGGTTCCTCTCCTCAGATCACCACCGCTCCCGTCGCTGGTTCCGGCTCCGGCTCTGGCTCCGGCTCCGAGACTGAGGTGGTTACTGTCACCGTCACCGCTACTGTGAGCGTTTCGGCTTGCGACTGGTAAGCTTCCAACAGCAGCCTACAAGTTACGACGATAGCAACGGCATCAATGGTGAATAGTCCTCCTGTATATACCTAATTTTCTAATTCTAATTATTGTGAAGATTGTCTTGAATATCTGCTCGAATTTGTACAAGGCGAGGGGAGCAGGATGTCTATAGCGGCGAAGCAGGTACAAATCTTTACTTTCTGGCTTGATTGTTTGATACTATCCCACCTTTCCCTCCAATGGAGTCCATTCGCTTTGCCGATGCAATGATGTGTTATTTGAATACCTGTACAGTACTTATGATGGAGGGATGTGCGAAAGCCAACCTCGTCCTGAATGTTTATTTCTTCATTTCTCTTAATCTCGATTCAATATGCCAAACCAGCATATCTTCACCCCAAAGTAGATACTCCATAGATCTTACTACTTTCTTAGCATCTTCATCTGACTAACAACACGTGTGGCCCCCATGTGCCCCAATCTCCCAAAGCAGTAATGCAGGAGACAATCCTCGTTCTTAGTAAGACAGTTCCCCTGTCCTCCGACGATCCCGTCAATCGTGATTAGAGCCATACCAACGAACGAACGAACACCCCTCTAATTCGAATCCCTGCCTGTTAGTTAGCTAGTCTATTTACCTTTACTCATCAAGGTTTCCAGAACCAAGCCTACTCATCCCACTCAGCTGACAGGGTCTGAGCTAAACACGAACCCAGTCGATCACAATTAGAGAACACGACACAGCCACGCAGCTGTCACTACATCATCAAGCGGCTGAGGACGGGATATGAGGTACGTCACGACAGCGGCACGGCAGTGGGTAAGCTGACGAAGAGAGATGATGATGAGTTGGAGCTTATGCGTACGAGAAGTAAGTAGTTACTTGGTTAGCATGGTGGGAGGAGAATGGAGACGGGATGGGGAGGTTCGTGCTTTTGCTTGCTAAACTAGCTAGCTATCCACTTAGTGGAATTGTCTGTGTGAATGGGTCATTAATTTATTCTTTATTAAATTGTATGCTTGTTTTCTATATTGATAATAATATTTGATATAGGATTGTGGGGGTGATAGGCGGACGTCATCCATTATATGGGACGAGTATACAGTGGGGGGTTATGGAGTACTGTTGTGGGTAATGTATGGCTTAAGCTCTTATCGAGATGATCTTATAGTATACACTGCAGTGTGTCTTGGTGATCTGCGGTGCTCTGTCTGTACTTTGTAGGTGGATGATATTTAAGCCAGGTTATAGTAGTCTCTTATTATTTATTGTGAACCTTCGAATGGATTGTAATCGTTGGGTCAGTAGTAGTATGGTGTCTGTGCTGATGATGGTGGCAGTTGGATATAGGGGGCTGTTGGTATGGTTTGTTCGTCTCGAGGTTAAGGGGGGAGGGATGGAAGGGATACGATTACGAGGGGAGGAAGGATATTGCTTTGTTCAGGAATTCCTGTGGATATGTATCTTTTTAGAGTGGAGTGTAGACAAGCTCATTGTATTATATGAAATGGTATTATAGATGTCATTCAGCAACTTCCGATTCATGGCCAACTGGTGAATAAACCATGCCCCTTGATGTGGATTAGATAGCTTCTTCAGTCATGAGCCTGTAACTACAGTGTGATTCTGTTGTAGCTCTATTAGCTATCTAGCACCTATGTCCTGGATTGAGATACAAATTGAAGGCATACTTCATGTAGGAGCGAGACATAGGCATGTGCACTACTACTCAACATAGGGTTGTGTCTTCTACGAGATGCATGTGCGAACCCCGATAATGACTACGCAGAAGGAAAACAGAAGCAGATACGAATCCCAAACGGTGTGTTCAATGGTACTCTTTCCACCTTCTATCTACTTCCTAATATCATGTCCTACTCTACAGCCCACTAACTCACCACGGAATATCCTTCCATACCCCCTGACTCTTCAACACATAGAATAGGGGCATACTCACACCACCTCCCCTCCCCAGCTAACCACAACCAACCACATATTAAGATCTCCCCAATAACTGAGCATCTGTTATACCAACGGCTCAACGGTCTAAATAAACCGACAAACAATAGTCTCAATAGTCGATCAACCCAATATTCAATAGTCAACCTAGCCTTGTGGAGAATGTCCCGAAAACGGTCGCATGCTGGGTAAACTTTGTTTAGATTAAGTGCGCTAGTTGTGGTTCCCCCCGGACTGATATTTGGGACGGAGACTATCTAGTATCTACTAATTCACTTGCCAAGCAAACTCTGCTGTTCGTTCCGCGGAATTGGGATTGCGTGGTCTGAACTTTGAAGGAGAATAGATTAAAGTATGATGGTACAGGGGGAGGTTGGACTATTGGCGGAGATATTGCTGAGACAGGCATAGGGTGCAAACTCTCTTTTTTGTTTATTGTTTATAGTGACATTACCACGTGTGAATAGATCGCTAAATATTGAGTTGCGGAATCCTCCAATCCTTCGCTCTTTAGTGGGGCTTTGGTATGTGGTTTATGTAGGTGAAGCTGTGTGTGCCCTGAACGGTAGGACATGAGAACTACCTTGAAGATGTAGAGCTACCTACCTTGTCGCTCGAGGCGGTCCGGCGCATCGCGATGATCTTCTCGCGGAGCAGCTTCTCGCGTAGTTCGGAGCTGGAGATGCGTACACGAGCTGCGTTATTGGGGGGAGCAGCAGTCTGCGATTAGTGGTTAGTTAAGGTCTTTACAGTGAGAGGGGCAGAGCAGAGTTATGGGCAATGAACGAACTTAGGAAATCATAGATTTTGTGTGAAGAGGACCCTTAGAAATCATTCACCCACCTCAGTGGCATCCTTCATCTCGTAGTCGCTCGAGCTTGGCTTCTCAGCCGGCGGTGGTGATCGTTTGGCGGCATCCTCGTCTTCATCAGCCATCCTCTTTCGTTTATCACTGGGGACGGATACGGAGGACGTGTTGCGCCGTCTCCGTGCAACTGGGGCATATCTCTCTATGGACCGACGCCGCTTCCTATCCCTCATGCGGCTGTGACTACGGCTGCGACTCCGACTCCGACTGCGGGAATCCTGGCTGGCGCTGCGGGAACGGCCTCGACTGCGGCTGCGGCTGACACTCTGGGATGAGTACCGGCGTCTGCGAGTGTCATTGCGCTCTCTGCTGCGACTCAAGCGACGGTCGTCACGGAACTTGCGGGCCTTTGCAATATCAGCGGTGGATTCTTTCTTATTATCTCGTGAAGAGTAAGGCGATGATCCTCTGCGTCTGGTGCCGCTACCATCCGACCCTTGCGACCTCGAACGGGACCTTGATGCCGAAGAACCTCTTCTCCTGCGTCGGTCTCTGGGGACAGGTGAACGCGATGCACTGCGGGAAGAAACGGATCTCCGTCTCCGTCGGTCTCTTCTGGGACTACGTGAGCGTGATGATTCACTGCGGGTATTGGATCTTGCACGATCACCGTAATCAGGGCTGCGTCTCCTTGGCCTCCTGCGATCGCCGCGGTCCGGGGAGACAGAGCCGCTAATTGACCGACGTCGTCGGTTCCGGTCGTTGCCAGGATGACGCCGACGTGGTGGAGGTGAGCGCGAGGAAGAGACGGAGCGAGAGCGAGAGCGGCTGGGCGAACGGGATGGCCGACGGCCTCGACGAGAGCCTGAGGGCACGTAGGAGTCGAACTCTCGTCTGCCAGGCGGACCTCGGAAACGGTCACGGCTGCGCTGTCGCGGAGGCGACCGACGTCTATCAAAGTCTCGACCACCGCGGCCACCGCCTCTTCTTCCTCCCCTTGTGCGCTCGGATCGTTCTCTGCGTCGAAGGTCTTCAAGTTCTCGCTCTCGCGCGCGCTCCTGTTCCTTCTGTTTGCGGGCTTCCTCGGCGGCTTTTTCCGCTTCGATCTAGTGATAACGAGGGTGTCAGCGCGAGACCAGCAACCCGGACATCCGTAAAATATCCCACCTTCTCTTGGATAAGCTCCAGTTTCTTCGCCTCCAGCAACTCCTTGGGCACACCCTGGGGGTTTTCCTGGGCACTCAAACATAGCGACCACAGCTCCTTGCAAAACTTGCCAGTATCTTTATCGAGGAATCCGGTGAGCTGAATCTGCAGGGACTTGATATCGGGCTAAGATAATGCAAAGTGAACTCAGTTAGCTTGGATGGCTGAATCCCGAGTAAAACATAGCAAATCAGCATGGAAGGCAAAAGGTAAAAGGTCGTACATACAAACCGCGACCCTTCGAGAAGGTTAAAGCAGAGCTCAATAACGACGTCATCTTCATTTCCCAGGATCTCGGAGATCTTTCCAGCAATCCATCTGCAATGATTAAAAGTGTTAGTTTCAGACCGGGTGATAACAGCACCTCGCGATAAGAAACTTAGCTGGGGCTTTTGCAACGCACTTCTTCATCACCTCGATGTTGACCTTGGTCATGTCCACCTTCCGGCTGAATTCCGGAGGGAATTTGGTCTGCTTCAGCAGCTTGGCATCCACACTTGTCGCCATGGTTTCTAGTCCTAGTTCGAGAGAACCAACAGCAAGTGAAGAGTCGATAATAGGTACAGCGACCGGCGCGTGAACAGCTGCGGTGTTGAGCCAGCCACAAAACTGCGGGTTGGGTGTTTGTCGATGCCCGAATACCGGAGTCGCAGTCGGACCGATGATAGCTTCAATCTTGCCTTTCTGGGAACTTGATATCACCAAGTTACATTGTTTCAAGAACACTTGTACCAATGTTATAGAAAATACCTCTCATACTGTACCTTGACTATTTAAGGTACCAGCCGATTTGCTCCTTCAGCCTTAAGTACTGCCACTGAACTTTTGCTGGCAGTTCATCTCAGGACATTGAAGAGACAAGGGCAGGGTTGATCGTATCTATCCAGGATCTTACATAGAGCCTCGAGAAGGTCCTCTTAGGAGGAAGGCCGAGTGGCTACTAAGGTGTTTGTTTGAACAGTTTATACTGGAGCAATATCTAATAGTTATATGCTATATGTGGTTCGCCCATCTATTTAATCCAAGTCTTCCCTTCATACCTCTCCACGCAATGGATCCGGCACCCACGTTTCGAAGTCCACAACTCCAGCACTTCTCTCAAAGGCCCAGTCCCGTATAGATTCAAAGTCGCGGCAGGTATGTACGATCCTGCTTTCTGCCTGCCATCGCGGTATACTCTCATTCCACCGCCAGTGGATGGTTGATACATCCGAGCTGCACATGAGACTCTGACGGATGGAATCAGAACAATGGTCGAGATGGGTCCAAAAGTTCTTCACCGCTTCAGGGTCACTCATGTTGAGGCCCATGTCATGACCCCCATGCCTTTTTATGGAGGTGGTGCTAGTAGGAAGGGGTGAGTGGATCTGTATACCTGTTCAAGGGGGAGAAAAGAAAGAAAGAAAGAAGATCCCACATACCAGACAATGAAGTTGATGAAAAACATCAAGTCCAATCACATACATGCCTGGCTCAGAGGCAAGTGGTAGAGTATGGTTGATTAGATTGGCCGCGTCGGACTGTGGAATCTTGATAATGCCATCTATTTTCATCAGAAACGAAGCTAGCGTTGGCAAGTGTGTTTCTACCGGGAATTGTGGGCAAAAGGCAAGGTGTTATCATACCGTTATACAAGTCCTCCCACGCTTTATCATAGGCGTCACTAGGAGGGCCCATATACGGGGTCCTAGACACGAAGCCGCTGTTAAAGGTCACCGTTTTATAATCTATGATCCGATTTGCCGGCGCTGCTCCGTACAATCAGCATATAGGTACTAGATAGGATGGTCCTCACCTTGAATGACCCAGAAGCCAGTAGGGGGGATAACTGACAGATTATAGGATTTGGAATGCAGATATCTTTGGAACCTTGGATCATGTTGAGCAGTCCATATAGATTGAATGAAAGGCTGATTCCCAATATGGCGGAATATAGATATTTCGAGAAGGGGGTTCGGCCAGGGAGTGAATGAACTGCATCTGTCTGATCCAACAGACCTCCTGGCTCATCATCTTCAGGCAATTCCTGATATTTTGGCGTGGCCATTGCAAGAATATCACTGACTAGTCTGAACGTAAGATTGCAGAGTAACGGCAAGTACTGAGGGGTCTGGTTAGTGAAGTATCTCCGAACGGCATTCCAAGAACACGCCAGTACTCTATTGACTCATGAGCCCTGTGTGAGAAAGTCATCTGATAATTCTCTACTCTCACCAAAGCACGACGGCTCGGGATTATCCAGGGGACACTGTATGTGTTGATCTCACCTTACTTCAGTGTGTACAACTTCGGTGGCGCTACTCTGTGGACGATATTCATATGAGCAAAATTTTTAACAATCTCCAATCTGATGGATTGTACTGACTTTGGGAAGATTTGCTTATGCATGATCAAGTTGACTATCTTCCCGTATTCCCGGGATGAAAATAAGGAAGGGGATAACTAGGACACAGGAAACAAGCAAAAACAGATGATTATTACTTTCGAAACTTGATTCAACCAAGCCACTCCCCCCAAAATTGCAAAAAAGAAAAGAAAGAAAAACCAAAAAATATTACATTTTCACTCCTTTACTACTGACTCGTCAGGAGTTGCTTCACTAAGTTAGCAGGTGATAGATCAGCAAGCTGACTTTCTGCTCTTAAGCTCTTAAGCGGATGTAGACTAAACCCTTGATTGCCCAGACTTAGTCCAACGCAGTGTAACCACTGTGTGCTATAGTTGATTGAGATGACCGGCGGTGACTGATGCTACGCAGCCTTACTACGCCCTTCTCCTGTGACCTGGCCCAGAAGCTGACGGCTTTCCTCATAAGTCTACATTCTTCGACAATGCAAGACGTCTTTCTGTATTGGACTACTGCAAAGTCTTACCCAAAGTGAAGATCTTTCAGTTCAGCCAACCATATCTTTCCTCTGATTGATTGAAAGACGTGTTACTGTAACCAGAGACCATGTGGGGATGACCGCCGTAAATGATAACTAGAAGACCTTAAGTCGAGTTGACCAATGTATAAAACCCAGTGCGAGGGGCCCCAGTTCAAAGGCATCTTTCATCAGTCTCTCTGACAGAACAAAGTCCCTCAATTAGATAAAGAATCTTTGTTTATCCATCTTTGATCTCTCTTGTCTCTGACAAACGTTTGTCCTTCAAAATGAGATACACCCTGATCAATCTCGTCCTGGTCGGTGCGGCTCTGGCCCTACCTGCTGTGAGTTATTGGAACATAGAAATATTCCTGATCGCTCCCTGGTTACTGCAAAAAGTTGTCTCTCTACTACTTGCTGATCGTGATAGGATCTCTTGGGTCAAAACTCCAAACGTGACAACCAGGATGCCCAGAAGGCTACTGTTGATGATGCCTACCTACCTGATCTAGGTATCTGGACCAGCACTAAGCGTGACAACCAGGATGCCTAGGAGGCTACTGCGAAAGACTTTGAAGGTCCTTTTGGTCCGGGCCTTCCGAATGTATGTGATCCGTGAGCTGAATGAGTTAATAAGCTTGCTGACGAACTGCATGAAGGGTGTTGCATTCTAGAGATCTGAATGGTCACTGGCTTATCTATCAAGTGTGATACTAGACAATGTCCTAATGGACCCGGAATCCTGATCATCTGACAAAGAGAACGTGCGGTAGGATTAGCAGTCCAGATAGTTCATGAATAGTATACAGGCTAAAGAAGGACATTGAACTCCTCAGTCCTCGTTTCTATTGAAGCAAGCATAGTAGCAAAACCAAGCCTCCCTTAATAGCGCAGACGGAGATGGCAATCTACATAAAACAGTAATAACCCTACACAATGTTAAATCAACAAGACTTTCTATCAGGCGTAGCATTCTAGAAGTACTATAATAGCACCTTCGCAAAGTCAATCATGCATATAAATTCCCATATAACATTACCATACAACACACCACAGATAACGCCAGCCCGAATAAAACATCCATATGCATAAGAGAAAAAGTAAAGAATTCGCAAACAGCCCAGAACCAAGGTAGTAGTACTTTCCCTAACTAGCTAAGTTCGCTTAAAACTCGGGCTACTTCTTCCCTGGCACGCGAGAGCTCCTCATCAACCGTGCCTAGCGCATGACGGGCTTTGAACTCATAGTGCAAGTCGACGAGTTCTTTTGCGCGACGGAGATCCTCGTTTCCGTAGCTGCCTGAATCTATTCCAGAGCCTGATGGGGTTGTGTTTGTTGCTTTGGGGTTTAGTTGGTCTGTGGTTTGGGGTATTCGCTCATTAACGGTAACGAGAGCGAGGGCGTCATGGTGGTCCTGTACTTAATCATTAATTGAGGTTTCTTTGATGAGAGGTACTGAGGATGTTCTGTTTGTAGAAAAGTGCTTATATTGGTCCGTGGTATACAAATAGGCTTAGTGGGTTAATAGCAAGGGCACATACACAGACGCGTAGGGATGTCAGATCGGAGAGGATCTCAGCTACTTGCATGGCGGTCTTGGTTCGGATCACTGGGGAATCTGGTGGAATTCTGCAACAATACGATAGACGAAGTTGAAAAGAGGCTCTGTTTTTCAGATTTGATTCAGATGATTATGTACAGACGCAGTGCAAAGAAAGTAGCTAACATGCAGCGATAAGAACACCCTTCAAGAACTGAGCGGGTGACGTAAGGAACAACAAGAATAAGAAAACATTCTCAGCTCATCACAATCTCAACTCACAATTCCAGACAAATGACTGTCTACACATATTCTCTAAAATCCCTTTAGACCATAGAATAACCACCATTATCGCACTCCCACTTACTTCCCCACACAACCCTCTTATCATCCCCAATCATCCGGCTTGACCCTCCGAATCTCGGAGAATCCGAGCCTCTCCGCACGCAGCGCGCGGAGCACCTTTCCGTGCGTCGCATCGGCCGAGCTCCGACTGGCCGATTATATTATTATCCGCCAGGCCTCAATTGCCTCTACATTCCATTCCCACCCCCTCAATTATTCCTCTTCCCCCTCCATCCTCGCAAATTGCACACTTCATCATGGCCTCTGCGATCAGGGCCAACTGCAGAAAGGTTATCTGCATTGGCAGAAACTATGCGTATGTTCTATCCTACCACATCTGCGCATGACGAGGTTCCGCTAACGCAGTCTGTCAACCGCAGCGACCACATCACAGAGCTGAACAACACCAAGCCCAAGCAGCCCTTTTTCTTCTTGAAGCCCGCTTCCGCTATCCTCTGCCCCGGCGAAGGTCCTGTGCTGCGCCCTCAGGGAACCAACCTGCACTATGAGGTCGAATTGGCGCTGGTGATGGGCAAGACCGTTCGGGATCTGGACCCGAATGACGATAAGGGTGCTCTGGATGCGATTCACAGTCAGTCATGATCCTGTGCAGTTATTCTCTTTGCGATAGACAAGGAGCGTCAATGGACTAACTGTGTGTAATATCATGGCGAATATAGGCTACCTCCTCGGTATCGACATGACCGCCCGCAACGTCCAAGAAGAAGCAAAGAAGAAGGGCCTCCCGTGGACGATCGCCAAGGGCTTCGACACCTTCCTGCCTGTCTCTCAGGAGATCGCCAAGTCGCGACTTCCCGACCCTCACAATGCTTTCCTCCGCTTGAGCGTTGGATCGCAAGTGCGCCAGGCTGACTCCACCGGTCTGATGCTTTACCGCATCCCCAGACTTCTGGCGGAGATCTCCCGTGTTATGACTCTGGAGAAGGGTGACCTTGTCCTGACTGGTACTCCTAAGGGTGTTGGTCAGGTCAAGTCTGGCGATGTCATGAAGGCGTCCATTGATTATGACGGCAAGGAGCTCGAGGAGGGTCGCATTGAGGTCGAGGTCAAGGACCGTGAGGGTAGATACTGGTACAGTGAGACCTAAATGGCTGTCTTGAACAAGATATATGTATCAGATAGACACTGTATATACATACCCTGGTTCTCTTCCAATATAGACTATCTGGAATGAAAAAGTAAGTCGGTTCTTCAACGGCGGTACATCTCCATAACAAAGCGTTCATCCTCTTCATCAGCTGGTACAATGGGTATGGACCTTCTCGTTCTCGGCCTTTTGCGCTGGACTTCCGGAGCATTTGTCGACTCGAGTTTGACATTTCCATTAAGCGTTTCGCTTTCCTTGACTGGCACCCGTATAGGAGGTTTCCTGTCCTCAATAACCTTCAACATGGCGTCCCTCAAATCACTCCAAGACCAGCCAGCGTTGTTCATCTCTTCCTCGATCAAAGCCCGGATACCAGAGTCATCAAGACCTCGCACAACCGCCCTGACAACCTCACCTTCATCCCTCTGTGCCTGCAATCCGCATCTCATCCCCTCAGCAGCAGCCAAATAATCAGCCAACGATCTCCCACCCTGCTTCATAACACCCTCCAACTCCGTCCCAACTTCCTCAGTCTTCTCCTCACCCACCAAAGAAGGTGTCCCCCACGTAGTATCAGAAAGCGTGGACGACAACCCACTCCTCCCACCAACATCAACACCAGGAACCGAACCCATAGGTATCGAATCCGGAACAAGAACATCAGACCCAGCAGAACAAGCCTTGACAACATCCCCTCTCTCCATTCCCAATCCCATCCCCACCTTCACTCCACTACCTCCCCGTTCCATCAACATCTCTCTCACCTCATCCAGCACCCTCACGCGAATACCCTCCTCCATTCTCTCTTGTTCACGAGCACGCCTCTCCAAACAATCAACCCTACCCCGTAGCTGGCGATTATCATTCTCAAGTTCCTCAACCCGCTCAATACCAGTTCGTAGATTAGTGTCGAATCGAACTTCTAGTTCCTTCAGGCTGTTCTCCAATCTGATATTTTCCTCGCGTGCTCGTAGATCTAGACTCTCAAGTCTGTAATTCAGATTCGCTATGGTATCTTTGGCAGCAGCGAGGTCGGATCTGACGCTGTTGAGTTGGTTCACGAGTTGAATGTTTTCGCGTCGGAGCTCGTGGGCCCAGAGGAAGGTGGATGGGTGGGGGATGTTGGGGTTTGGTTGTCTGGTTCGATTCATTGTTCATTTGGGTTGGAGGGTTCTTTATTTAGTTGGGATCGAGTTGCGTGGGGGATAGAGTGGTTGTCGAGATGGGATGTGTTGTGGAGGATGTGGAGAATGGAGGATGGAAGGGTGGTATACATAGTATACTATATTATGCTTAGGCTGTGTCTGTCTATACGGAGTAGAGTCCCTACAAGTTGGAGCGCCTTCCACAAAACCAAGGGTTGAAGATTGACTATTCAAAACAAACTAATGGAATGGTATGTACCTCTCTTGTCTATACTAGTGAACACAGGTATACAACCAGTCCGAGCCGTAATCGTATCTTCGTCCACCCAAAGTGCCTCGAGGAAAAGAAAGCCTGATTGAACTAATCACATTTTTGGCCCGACCTCTTGGTCAAGTATGAACGCAGCATCCTTAACCAACCAGAGAGCGAGCTAGGTACAGAGCAAAGGAAAAAGGTGTGAAAAAGCGTTTCCGGAAGAGAACCATGAATTACAGCAATAAAATCGCACAAGCGTGTCGCATCTCCATAAGCAATAACAGACAAAGGAAACCATAAACAGAACAAGACAGAAACACGCAGACTAAGACGGTTCCCGCTCGCCACTGCTAAAAGAGAAAATGCTGGAGACACAGAAAGCCACTTTTTGAAGGATTCTCCTTTACCAAGAGAAGCGCAACGATGTCAAAACGTCTTTCCCACCGCAGCTCACCCTTGGAGCGTTATTGGCAACTGCATTCGTAATCCGCATCGAGGGACGTTAGGTGATGGTATTAGGGAGTTTAGATGAGGTCTAGATGCCAGAGTCAGTATGAATGAATAGATCATCAAAGTGTGGGTCAAGTCCTGCTTACCGGCAACGTTCATGGGCATCTCCTCGATCTGGGTGCTGTAGAACTGCTCAATCTCACGCATCATGCGGACATCGTCAGCGGTGACGAAGTTGATGGCAACACCCTTACGACCGAAACGACCACCACGACCGATACGGTGGATGTAGTTCTCACGGTTGGCGGGAAGGTCGTAGTTGATGACCAGGGAGACCTGCTGGACATCGATACCACGGGCCAGAAGGTCAGTGGCGATCAGGACACGGGAAGATCCGGAACGGAACTCCTTCATGATAACATCACGCTGGCCCTGCTCCATGTCACCGTGCATGGCAGAGACGGTGAAGTCACGGGCAGTGAGCTTGTCGGTGAGCCAGTCGACCTTGCGGCGGGTGTTACAGAAGATGACGGCCTGGGTGATGGTGACGGTCTCGTAGAGATCGGAGAGGGTGTCGAGCTTCCACTCCTCCTTCTCGACAGCAATGTAGAACTGCTTGATACCCTCGAGGGTAAGCTCCTGCTTCTTGACCAGGATACGGATGGGGTCACGCATGAACTTGGTGGTGACCTCAAGGACATCCTGGGGCATGGTAGCGGACAGCAGGGTGACCTGGGTGGACTGGGGGAGGAGCTGGAAGATGTCGTAGATTTGCTCGGTGAAACCACGCTGATCATGTTGTTAGCCAGGGCACATCTTCTCGGGATCGATCTGAAATAGACTTACAGAAAGCATCTCATCAGCCTCGTCGAGGATGAAGAGCTTCATCTGGTCGGTCTTGAGGACACGGCGCTCAATCATATCGTGGATACGACCGGGGGTACCGACAACGACCTGGGGGCCGGCGCGGAGGGCGTTCATGTCGTCACGGACGTTGGTACCACCAATGCAGGCGTGGCACTCAATGTTCATGAAGTCACCGATAGCGACAACGACCTTCTGGATCTGCTGAGCCAACTCACGGGTGGGAGCGACAATCAGAGCCTGGCAGGCCTTGAGCTCCTGGTCGATCTTCTGGAGAGCGGAGATGGAGAAAGTGGCAGTCTTTCCGGTACCAGACTGGGCCTGGGCAATGACATCGTGGCCTGGGATGCCCTAGTTAGCATCATAAATTATGGGCGACCGTGCGGAGAAAACATACCGGCAATGATGGGCTTGATGGCACGCTGCTGGATAGCGGAGGGACGCTCGAAACCGTAGGCGTAGACACCTGGACGTCGTCAGAACATGTTGGCACAGACCCCACCAGGGCAAAGATAAAATTTGTATCACATACCGCGAAGCAGCTCGGGCTTCAGGTCCATGGAGTCGAAGGAGTCGGTGACCTCATCGTAGTTGGTCTCGATCTGTCCTATTGACGTGAAATCTCTGGTCAGCTTGATTCTTCGAAATATTTCGATGATGGGTTGTGGCGATTATCTCTTTCTTCCGCTGGCTTGAGAGCGAGCCCCATTCTCCAGCAAAGTAGAGAGATATAAACCACAAATTTGCCATGAAAAAAATGAAGCAAACGATATAGGAACACATACCCTCGGGGATCTCCTCCAAACCCTTGTCGTTAGAAGCCATGATTGCGGTGTTGTTGTAAGAAGATCACAGGCGAGATGCTGTGATCGAAGAAGACGGTGGGGTTTTGGGATTAAAACTGGAAAAGGCTTGTTAGCGATAGGCGAGGATGGTGGGGGAGGGCGCAATGCGCAGAGAAACGCTGGTGAGAGAGCAACGAACCTGGTAGCACAACTCTCGGGGGATGAGAGATATCACAAAGACTTCAAAAGTCGTAGGGGTGGGAAGAGAAAAGAAGTTCAAGTTGGATGACCGAAGATGGTGTGGGAAAATGGGGGGACCAGAAGCGGCGGGACGAGCACTGCGAACTTTTTTTTTTTCTTCCCTTTTCTTTCCCTGTGTCTGCCATTTTTCCATTTGTCGCGGTGAAATTTTTGATTTTTAGCGCCAATTTAGCCTAGCCGATACGCACCGCCTACTTTATCGGGCAACCTACCCACGTACTTGCCTTGTGGGAATTTTGACATTATTTCCTTATTCGCTGGCTAGACTACGGAGGGAAATTTTTGGTAATATTTTCGTTGCCCAGGAGGCAAGTCTTTTACTGCGTAGGACCATAGTATTGCCGCTCAGAAAGTCCACAGGAGCGTTGTTCATGGCTGGGTTGGGCATAAGACCCCCCCGTATCTTCCCTGCCTGACAGCCCTGGCCGTTGGTTGTGTGGGCTGTTTATTACTAGTCTGTACCACCACCGCCGCCCGGTCTGTGACCGGTCTAGTCGTTCCCCACCCAATTGGGAAAGTTCCTACAATTCAATGCCCGTCTCTTTCTTTTTCTTCAAATAATAATCATGAAAATGCCGGATATCAATTCCTTGGACAGTGCTCGTCCTCTCGGCGGTGCAGTAGCTGCCCATAGCTACTCTTCGCATCCAGAGCCCGATGTTGAGGATCTGTCTGGCCATGAAGAAATTCCTGGCCATCCTCTGGGCGTGAAGCCTAGTGGCAATGCTTTGCTCGCCGCAGAGAACCTGCGCCATGCAATTGGCACTTTTAACATCCTACCGGATGAGTCGATATTGATGTTGCTCGAATACCTCGATGGTCCCAGTCTGTTGAATATTGGACAGACGTGCAAGGCATTTTATGCTTTCACCAGAGCCGAGGATCTCTGGAAAGCTCTTTTCACCGGGTGAGATATAGATCTTTGTTCTTACATTATTGCTATTGTCTACATCTGCTTGCCAGGGGACTGCTTATTCTTGTTGATTCCTGGGACGTGGCAGTCTACTGTCTCATCGCATTTGTAGAATTATAGCTAGACGGCCTGGAGCATTGCACTAACGCTTTAGTCAGTTCTCCTCCCGCCTCGTTCTCATGGAAAGGAACATGGCGCTCAACTTATCTTAACATTCCTCCGTCGGAAGAGTGCATCCTAGACTGCTCGAATCTATTCTCGGATGTCCTGCACCGGCCCTTCCACTGCGCCCATATTTCTTTAGATCCTTATATTAAGAATATCCCTGCCCGCAACCAAATTGCTCGTCTCCCCGATCTCTCTTTTGAGGAGTTCAATGAAAAATGGAGCAACACGCCCTTCATCTTGACTGAGCCTGTGAAACAATGGCCAGCCTACAAAAACTGGTCCGTAAACATGCTTTTGGATCACTACGGCGAGGCTATTTTCCGCGCAGAGGCAGTGGACTGGCCTTTCCATACTTATGTTGATTACATGCATAACAACTCCGATGAGAGTCCCCTCTATCTATTCGACCGGGCATTTGTATCAAAAATGGGCCTCAAAGTCGGTCAGCCGGACCAGGAGCCTGACGCCACTTACTGGCCTCCCAGTTGCTTTGGAGAGGACTTCTTCTCCGTGCTGGGGAACGATCGCCCTGACAGGCAGTGGCTGATCATTGGACCTGAGCGGTCTGGAAGTACCTTCCACAAGGACCCGAACGCTACCAGCGCCTGGAATGCGGTTGTTCGTGGTTCAAAATACTGGATTATGTTCCCATCGTCTTCGAAGCTCCCGCCGCCTCCGGGCGTCTATGTGTCAGACGACCAGAGTGAAGTGACTTCCCCTCTTAGTATTGCCGAGTGGCTTTTCGGTTTTCACGCCGAGGCACGACGTAGCCCAGGCTGCATCGAGGGGATTTGTCACGAGGGCGAGATTCTCCACGTTCCTTCGGGCTGGTGGCACTTGGTCGTCAACATTGAGCCAGCTATTGCCATTACTCAGAACTTCGTACCCCGTGCCCACCTGAGCGCTGCGCTGGACTTCTTGTCTAACAAGGCAGACCAGGTTTCAGGTTTCAGAAAGGACGTAAACAATCCCTACGAGCGGTTTGTGGCGCAGATGCAGAAATCGCATCCTGAGCTATTGGAACAGGCGCAGGCAGAGCTGCAGAAGAAGAACGAGGGGAAGAAACGGAAATGGGACGAAATTGTGCACGGAAACCCAGAGCAAGACGGAGGTGATGCCGCCGAAGGAGGCGGGTTTAGCTTCGGGTTTGGAGATGACAGCGATGTTGAAGTCCCCTAATTGCAGTCTCCGCTGTTTGCAAGTGAACGCATGAATGTTCATTAGACGAGTATGCAACTGATGCTGTTTCCAAACGACAAGACGACCACAGCTACCTAACGAGGCTACTGCTAAGAATATGCCCGGTTCCCGCCAAAACTTCAGGCAAGCCTTCGT